GTTCCAGCCCAGGATTTCACAAATGTACCTCTCCTAACACAAAGGTTTCACACCTAGCAGAGTGCCTTGCTCTTGACCACTAGTGCCTTATTCATTCTACCTCTGCAGAAAAGACAACTCTAACCAATTTTCCTCTTCTATCCTGAAGCAGAGCATCACAGATGATAATTTGCATCTCAAGCTCAGTCTAGGAATACGATTCATTCATAGGAAGGTACAGGAGGGTTAAACTCAGCCTATTATATATCATCATCATCAAATGAAAAAAGTTTAATTCTAGCATGATTGACTATTTGTCTTTCTTCTCTGCCCATTTGGTAGATACTGGAGAAAAGCACTACACATTTTAAGACAGCTTTAAGAGAAATGGGAACTGGTAAAATATCTTCACTAACTGCTTCCTATTATTAGCCCCATATTAATTTATGAATCACATTGGTTTTAAGTGCTATTTTTATTTCAGGCCACCAATATGACCTCACCAAGGGGCAAATTCTTATAGCTTGGCCTTCAATGTTGCCTCAGGCACTGCATGAGAACTTGTTTGAACTATTTTACAATCATTAACTTCTTGGGTAAGGTAGGAACTCTTTCTGTAGCATTGATTTGGAGACTGTATAGCCACAAAGCAGGTTCTATACTCTGAGAGGCTTAGATATAGTTAAAGAATATTAGAAATGTATAGAACTATAGAAACATCTAGACCATTCCATTCATTTTGTAGACAAGGAATCCAAGTTCCAGAGAAGTCAAGTGATTTGTTGAAGATTGCAAAGTCAGTGATGGAAAGATAGGACTCAAAGCTTATGGCTCCTCAGATCAGCCTTCTTTCTACCAGATTGTGTTAACAATAGAGTGCTCTTTATGTTTCAGAATATAGAGAAATAGTTATCTAATATTTCTGACAAATGAGTGTAAAACACTTGGAGATGGGATACTAACAATGTAGTCTAGAAATCAGTTTGGGGAGAGAAAGATGAAAGCTGTAGACAAGTGAGAGTTTAGATAATAATGAAATGTTCCTCTGGACTTCTTAAAAATAAAAATTTTAAGTTTCAGGCATCTCGAGGTTGAATCCTCCCACACCAGTTTCTTCCCAGACAGTAAATTTATTCAATCCAAGGATCATCACCAGAAATTACTTCTAGTCCCAGGCCTTTTTTGCACCCCTATTTACCCCAAGATTATAATTTATTACTTTTTTCTGAGCTATATTTCTCCTTTACTTTTGTTTCTCCCATCTTTTTTCTCCCTGTAGCACCATCACTGTTAAGCTTAGCCATGTTTGGCTAGTAATGCAGGTTGGGAGAACAGAGGGTCCTAAACCAGACTGGAGGACTTCTGTTTAATCATCCTTTTTTCCTAAGTTGGCACAACCGGGGCAGATACTGCCTCACATGCTCCTTCACTTCTGATTGTAGTGTAGACACCATAAGACAACAGAGACAGGAGCAGCTTCCCCTCACCCCCATACACACACTGACCTTGTGGCTCCCCATCCTTTGAGCTACCTGGCGCTGGCAGTCTGGAGGCCTGGCAACATTCATTGTCAGTACTACTGCCTTTGGCTCAGCCCAGGCTTGGCTTCTTGGCTGCTACTTATGTGCTGTCTGATAAAAATAATGTCAAAACTCATTCATTGAGCGCATGAGATGCTTTATTGAGTCCAACATGTTGTTTACAGTTTATAAATTAAGTGGGAAGAGACATCTGACTTATTCTCCAAGGCATCTAGTTGACTAGATCCAATTGGAATTCTTTGAGTTCCTGAGAAGGGGCTACTTAGCATTTCACAATCCCTGATTAGACCTTGAGTTTCTTGCTTTTCTAATCCTAGTATGAAGAGTTATCTAGTGGCAACCTTTCTTTCACACTTAAAGCTTGGGTTTTTTTGTTTGTTTTGTTTTGTTTTTTTGTTTGTTTGTTTGTTTGGCAATTCCTTTGAGAGAGGCTCTATGTCCTGTCATCTTTACTTTACTCATGGCCGATATGATTATTTTAAATTATAGTAAATATCAAATAATTCTGTTACACTGACGCCATTCCGGTGTTATTATATTTTATCTGCTTAATTTGATATTCTTAGAAATGATGCAGTGCATGTTGGACACAAATTAGATGTTAAGGGAGTTTATCAATGTGTCCACAGAATAAACCAGGAAAACAACAACAGGCCAAGACTCTTTGCTGGTGGATGCAATGAGCTGAAAGAGGGAATTAGGATAGGATTTATTTTTAACCCTGACCCTTAACTTTTCTCTCCTAGAATACAAGCAGGTGCTCAATGAATGTGTTGAATAAATACTTATTGAAAGAAACCACAGGAGGCAATATCTGCATATATTAGTACTGAAAAAAAGCCTGGGCAGATGGGGGAGGGTCTGAATGCTAGAGCACTACCCATTTACATGGCAAGCATGGCAAGATTAAGGCCACTTGTCTTAGCCTGTTGCTGGAATAACTTTGCAAGAAACCAACACTTTACCCTCTGCCAGGCAGAAGGTCAGCCCAAGAGGGAGCTGATTTGTAGACATAACACCATCTCTCACCCAGGAGGCTGGACCCACTGTAAGCTCTGCTATATTATTTCGCTGAGGATGACAGGTGGGAAAATCTGGGCACCAGTTGTTCTTTTCCACTGGTATCATTTGAAGGGTAGCTCCAAAGTCGGGCACGCCATCCTACGTGCCTCTCCTGTCGGCAACAGGTCCACATTGAAGCTATTAGTATGTGGGCTCTGTACACTGGCCAAGCCCATGTTTCAGAGACTATACCCAGAGCACAGAGCAGCCCTGGGGCTACTGAGGTCAGCAAGAGAGTCATTCTCTTATTCAATCCCTCTTTGGCTGGGCAGAGGTTCTAAGTCTTGATAAGCAGCATTTGATTTTATGCTATGTGGCTTTTTTTTAAAATGGAAGCAAATTGGAATTAATTTAATTTTGAGAAAAATGACAGAAGCTCCTACAAGACGGACATAGATATCCCTAGACTTCCATAAAGTCTAAATATTGAGTGATGTAAATTCCCTTCATTTTCCATTTTCCTCAACACTCTGCACATTCTCACCTATGTACACCCCAACCAACACAATGTTTGGACAACTTGACTTAACATACCTATTTTCTTGAGAATTATGTTTATTCCATCTAGCACAACACGTTGAATCATTCAATTTGAACACTTAAAGCAAAAATCCCAATATTATTTAACTCTGTCTTGAGGTTCTATGAATTCTGTGGCATATTTATATCACTGCTTGGATTCTTATTTCAGAAGTCAATATAAAAACTGAACAAAAAGCAGCATGCGTTGTGAATGTGCTGAAATGAAAAACCTATTATTAGTAGTGAAGCAACATTTCCTCTGTCATTTCTTTTATACTTTCAGGGGGGTAAAAAATGAACTGTACTTGCAATTCAGGATGTTGCTACTAGGTGGCAGTAGTGCACAAGAACTAAGAAAAGACTAGCAGGTCTTCCTATATTTATAAGAAGTAAAAATATACTATTAAATAATACTGACTGATTTAAGCATCCACTAACTTAATTATTATTTTAAGCCTAGATTTTAAAATAGAATGTATTCTCGACCAAAAGTTAATAAATATAAATTTTGGGTAGGTATATATTCATAAGTTCAAATATCTACAGATTAAAAAAAGGGTACACAGTGAAGATTTTCTCCCATGCCTATCTTCCAACCTCCATAGGTAACTAATTATATAGTTTCTTAGGTACCCTTCCAGAGCTTCTCAATGCAAATACAAATAGACACAAATATATATTCTTGTCCCTCCCTGTTTTAACAATACAAATCTGTAGAGTTTCTGCATTATTTTTATATAGTTGCATAGTATTCCATTGTATGAGTGTTGTATAATGTATTTAACCAGTTCCCTACTGATGGATATTTTGTGCTCTATTTTATGCTATGGCAACCAATGCTATAGTGAATAACTACATGATTGCATGATCTCACATGTAGGATAATTCTCAGAAGTGAAATTTCTGGATCTAAGTTATTTACATTTGTAATTTTAATAGATATCACCAAATTGGCCTCTACAGAATTTGTACCAATTTATATTTCACTGTCTCTAGAATGGGTCTCTTTCCCATAGCCTTGCTAACAGGGTGCATGATCAGACTTTGGAATCTTTCTAAAGCTGATTTGTTGAACAAAGTATCTCAAAGCACTTTTAATTGTCATTTCAGTGAGCATACCCATCTTCTATGTTTAAGGACTATTTGTATTTTTAAATGTCCTTTTCTGTGGAGAAAATGCAAATGCCAACAAATACAACTATCTATGGAGTTTTGTTGTTGATGTTGTTGCTTGTTTTTTACTATCATGCTATACATGTTTTTCTTTCATTTGTTTTGCTCATTTGACCATATCTGCTGGTTACTGCTCTGAAGAGAAGGAGCTGGCAGTGGGAAGGGAGAGGCAAGACTAGACTGTCTGCTTTTCCCGTTATCCCTTTGCCATTGGCTGCTGGGGAAAATATCTGTATGCTGGAGTGGTGAAAGGAGAAATCTAATAAATTCTCTTTCTAAGACTAATTAAGGCTTCAAAGAGATAGATAACCCACTTGGGATAACATAGTCATATTTAAACTCAGGAAATGGTCAGTATTAATGCAGTTTCTGAACATCGAACCCCCCCAAAGCACTGGCTCTTTGAACTGAAGTCTTGGTGAATTTCAGTGTAATGTGCACAGGAAAACCTAGACTTTTGAAATGAAAACAAAAAATGCTCTTCTTATCTTTTGCTGATGTGGAGATTAGGGCTCAGTCTTAATAAAACTTAATGAGATGTTTCCATTAGCATGCACATAAAAGAAAATGGCACAAAGTTGTATGAAAAGATGGTATCCTCAACTTTAGGGTTTCTTCTGCATATGAAGACGGTGTTAACTGACTCTATAAGTATCAGGTAGTGACATTTTAAAGCAAGAGGGAACTTTATTTGCCATGTTTTTCAACTCCTCTACTCTACAGGTGAGGAAACTGGGGCTGGTACTATGTAAATGAGCTGTGCAAGGTCCCCCAGATAATGAATGACAGTGCTAGGGTCCAGGTAGGTCCCCTTGTTACTGAATCCTGCTCTTTCTTCAGTTTAAATAACCCCTGTGAAACACACGCTGAGGTTTTGTCATTGCCAAGGATGTGGTGCTCTAAAATAGGCCTATTAACACATACTTTCCTGCTTGGGATCCCCTGCCCCACATTCACAAGGCAGCTCACATGTTCTTTTTATTTTGGATGTAATGTTAGATTGCCCCCAACTTTCCTAAATGTTTGAAAACATTTTTATACTGTATATAGTCTGTTGTGATAAAAAGTATCAATGTTGGCTATGGGTTATTGAAGTGATTTGGGGGGATCTCTGGACCCCAGTCCTTAGTCCAAGAGGTATATTTAAAAGAACAAAGCAAATTTCAGGAAAACTGGTATAGTATGATCCCATTTTAATGGTAGTTTTCCACTCCAATGACCACTTATTTTTTCAAATTATGCCATGTGCTCAGGCTACAGAGACTGCAAAAATGTGTGACTGTATTGGCAAATACCCATATTGTTATGACCACACGTTGGCATAATGTGTATATCAGATGCAGTTTTTCATTGATACTGGGTGCCATGGGGCTTAAAAGAAAAACAGGATGAGCCTAGAACTGGAAAATTAGGTGGGTGGATGGGTATGGACTTAGAAGTGGAAAATGTATTTCCTTCACATGGGAGATGGCTTGTGTTCATTAGTATTGACCTTTCTCCTTTATATCCCTGTAAGCTGACGTTGACAAAAAGCTTACTTAGAAACTGAATAGATTCCACCAACCAGGAATAAGTATGAGACCACCCGATTCAGTTATGCTGTGGCCACAACCACATGTTTAATTTTTACCATGGGTTGAAACTATTCTTGCTTGTAGGAACATGGACTCCAGCAATTAAAGTCAACACATACTCCCATTAAGCCATTGTTTCCACTTCCAAATGGTTATAAATATGGAGCATAAGCTATGGAGGGGGTGTGGAAAAGATGACAGTTTATGCTAATGAAGCTCTAGAAACCAGTATTCTTCACTTGAAATGACATGGAAAAATTCTACTCGATATCTCCTGGGTTCCGTTAGTTTTTCTCAGTAAATGTTTCTGGGGAAAATAATTTCTGTTTTCATTCCAGCTGTGCAGCAGATAGAGTGATGATGGATTGCAAGTGCAAAGAGTAAGACAAAACTCTGGCATACAAAGGACAATGACAACCAGAAAGCTTCAGCCAGATCCTGCCCGTTCCTTGGAAGGAACTGGATCCTAGGAGGTGAAGGCATTTCTGATTTTTAGTCCTCTGCCTCCCTCTGCTGTTCCTCTTGAGAAGTTTTTCCTTACAACAATGAGAAATCATGTACTAGCTGCATCCTTTTCTATGCTCTCCCTGCTGGCACTAATGGGAGATACAGACAGCAAAACGGACAGCTCCTTCATGATGGACTCAGACCCTCGGCGTTGCATGAGGCACCACTATGTCGATTCTATCAGTCACCCACTGTACAAGTGTAGCTCAAAGGTAAGACCAAGACCTCTGTGAGGGTAGCATTACTTCTAGAAACAGGAGAGAAACCAGATTCCTTTGTCAGGGGATGGAGAAATATGAGGATAGCTCAAACCAGAGCTGTCTCATGGAGCTTTTGGGAGAATCATGCACTTACGGTTTCTCACCACGCTTTGCACTTTTGTCAGTAAAGCTGCCTAATTAAGCATGTGTACTCGCAGTCAGCTTCTCTCTTTTCGGGCTGCTCAAAGTCAATAGGAAAAGCTGGAAGGTTCTCACAATAAAATTGATGCTAAACAAAAGATAGGAGGGGTGCGTTTCATCCTTGGTTGTGAAATTTATAAGCAGTAGTGTCCTTTTTCAAGAGAGAAAAATGGAGTCTACAAGTTATTTTAACACTTTGTACCTCCACCGGGAATAAAGAAGGAAGGAGTGAGGCAATGTAAGAAATAGGGTTGATCTGTGAAATGTACTCCTTGAGGGGCTCTTCATAGAGTTTCCTGATGAAATAGTTGGTCATTGGCCTTATGGTCCAAGCCTTTCTTCATCTTCTATGTTTATGTAAAAGCTAGAGGCCCAGTGCATGGATTTGTGCACTGGTGGGGTCCCTCAGCCTGGCCTGTGGGGATCAGGCCAAAACTGTCAGTCTAACATCCCCCGAGGGGTCTCAGAGTGCAAGAGGGCAATCTGCAAAGTTGCTGTCCCTTGGCAGCTTCTGCATTGAGTATCTGCCCCCTGGTGGTCAGTTCGTGTCATGCCTACTGGCCAGTTGGCCAGTCTTTTAAGCTTTAATTTGATCAATTGTCATTTTTATATTGATTATCCAAATCACTCTTGTTGGAGTAGATTGTATGATTTTTGCACAGGCAACCTCTGCAACTGATGTCTGAGTACTGAGACAAATTGTGGGAAGGAACACCATGCTTCAAAGGTCACCAAGAGTGACCAGCCACATGGACCACCCAGAAGGGAGGCTCATAGTAGAGAAGAGCAGACTTAGAATGAGAATTCTCATGGCTGCCACCATCCCAAACAGTCACATGAATGAAATTTGCCCACATTTGGTAAATAGGAATTTATTTAGGCCAACCTCAGAGATTTTCACTTTTAATCCTGGAACTAAAACCACTTAAACATTCTCATACGGCAAATATTTTTTAAATTACCAGTATAATTAAGAAGTTTTTGTAATATCAACCATTAGAATTAAGTCTATATAAGTAAGTCTTTCTACCCTCTATCTAAAAACATTACAACTTCTGTCTGCCTTTAAAATTTCCATAACTTGTCTGATTATAGCTCAATGATGAAGGCTTATTTACATTTGGGAGGATAAAAACTTGAGTTAAATCATTTTAACCATTATATTAGTAAGATCTACGACTGTGGGAAAAATTAGACATAAGGAGAAAGATTGCAACAAATAAAAAAGTTGTGTTACCAAACAGCACAAAGGGTATTTGTCCCAAAGTCCTGCTTGTACCTAACAAAAACTTTCTGTCTCTTATTTGTACTTGTAGAGCTAAAAAAAAAATGAATAAACTTAAAATTTTGCAAGACCACAGTCCCTTCTTAGGAAATAAAACTAAAACAAATTGAAAAATAAAGACAGGATATGTTTTTACAACTGTGCTCGGAAATGGACTGAAACAATTATTAGCTTCTTTTCCCCCACTCCCACACAGCACTAGCTAGGATTACGTGTTTCTTATTCCATGGGTGATTTCTCCCTCTGTTGAGTTGTCCTTCATAATCATAATTCTTTTTTTAAAAAAAGTATTAAAATTATTTAAATGAAAGTGTCAATGTGATAATAAGAAGGAACAGAGAAACAGGAGCATCTTCAAAAACAAAAGAATAATCTGGAAATATTTTGTGAAAGGATGGAGGGGTGCCCTAAGGTCAAAGAAGAGATGTCATTAACTCCAACACAACAAAATCACAGTGTTTGAGCATAAATTCTAGAAACAGACCTTAGTCTACCTTTGTTCACCTTTGTTTCTTTCAGAATGCTATGGTAAATGGCATTTACCATAATAATAACAGAAATGTTTATAATTTCATGGAAACAATCTGTTCTCAAATATACCAAACTATCTCAAATATAGCAATAGTTTTATGTAAATGGTGCTTGTAATTAAAAACCTTTCTTCTTTGGCCATAAAATATGCCTGGTAGAATCTCAACTACCCAGACCTCTCCTGGATTAGATTTTCTTTATGTATCCATGAACAAAAACTGGTTTTCATTCCAAATTATTCTATTTTTCTTAGCTTTCACAGACCCGGGTTGGTCTTCTCTCTAGTGGGTCTCATTTAACAAAACTTTGTCTTTCTAGACTTGGGATAAAGTATTTAACCTCTCTTTAGAAAATAGCCAACGGGCGTTTTTACAGAGAGGAGACTAGGGTAGATTTTTCCTCTCTGCAAAATTTTCTCTCAACATGATGTTCAAACGCTGTTATTTACTAAATATATGCCTGCTATTTGCTTCTCGATTGTTAATCCTTCCTGACTTACATTTATCCAATATTTGCCCTTAGGAAGACAGATGAAGGGGAGCCTGTTACTTAGGCTTATCGAAGGGAGGGTACCTGCTTGAACAGCTAATTTATGCCAACCACGTATACTATACAATATAACCATTGCTGACAAACCTATGTTGGAAAGCATTATCGCTCCCATTTTACTGGCAAGGAAAACTGAAATTTGAAAGAAATATTACATACATTGCCCATAGCAATGTCTACTTCGGAGCATTCATCTAACAACCTGGCTTCATGTTGGAGGAAAACAAACAGAATGCAGAAGCTAGTATTTAGGAAACAAGGCTTAATTTTCCAGATCTGCTGGAAATGATGACTTAGACTCAGTAATCTTTCTAGAACTAGAACTAGTAGTGAAAGCTTTTCAGGGAGCATTCCATGAAACTGCCTGTTCCCCTAGCTCTAAACTTGTAGCTGGTCAGCCTCAGAGGTCTGTTGCCCCCCCTCCTAGCAATTTAGGAAAGAGATGAAATGGATTCAGGCAGGAAAGACTGGCTACACTGGTCCACTAAGGAGGTCAGAGTGGCCACAGATCGTGATGTGCCTGGTGGCATTTAGTGGTGACACCTCCTAGGATTAGGTAAAAAAAATTCTTAGAGTGGCAGCTTCATTTACAATCTTGCCTGAAATTCTGAGTGAAGGCTATAGAATAAGCAGGCAGAAGGTCAGTAGTTAGTGGAAATGAGTCGTCTGGGGCATCTTTAAAGGAACTTAGACATTGCACACTTTTAAGTGAGAGAGACCTGGCTTCAAATTCAAGGTCCACAGGTTGCCAACTGGGGAAAGAAGTAATTATTTGGTACCTCTGTTTGTTGAATGGAGCTATTGCTGTCTATCTAAATGTGTGGGCATGAGTATTGGTGATAATATTTATAAAGCATCCAGCACAGAGTCTGGCATATGATAGGTATTAATAAATGATATTATGATGGTGATGACAAAGTTATAAACTTGACAGGTGTTTAGGCTCACTTTTCTATTTCTGTCACTACTGTGACCTCAATAACTGTTGGGATCTGCTATAGCCTTAAAGGATTAAGAAAATAAACCTCACTGTAGTTCATGTTGAACAGAGAAATTTGGCAGTGATGGGAGAGCATACAGAAGAGCAAAGTAAATGTAAGCCACTGTGGTAGGTGCTAAACGGAGGGATAAAAGTAAAAAAGAAACAGATTCTGCTGTCTGACCTCTCTTCCCAGGTGAGAAGAGGAAAGAGGGACTGGAGGGGGTCACTTTTGGATTCAGTCCAGGGAGAGGTATTCAGGAACTGAGATCGGGAAAGCAAGCTGGTGGGATAGTTCTGTGAAGTCTGAGTTGGATGAGTAGTGAGAGATGGTGGCCCTGGAACAGGGGTGTGGAACCATGACATAAGGAAGTCTGAACTCTGAATGGCCACAGGAGCTGCAACAAAAGAGAAGGAGGAGGAGGATTCAGGAGACAAATCCTGGGAAAATTTCCAGAGTACAAAGGACCTGGCATGCCAAGGACTGAGCCTTAGGGTTGGCAGGAAGTCGGGAATATTGAGTTTATAACTCAATTAACTATCGAGGAGGTAAGACTTATTAAAAAACAAAAAAACAAAACAAATGTATACAGAATTCCTACTATGTGAAGGCATTGTGGTAGGTTCTAGAGACACAACATTAGAAAAAAAAATACAAAATTTTAGCTCCCGTGTTTACAAGTAAATGGAGGAGAGAGAGAAGGGAAGTGTTCTGTGCGCAAAGGCCTAATCATGTCCAATTGAGTTTTTACATAGTGAAGGGACCAGATTTCAGTTGGAGTTTGCAAAGTTCACACCCATGCTGTCAAAGCTCTCATCACCACAACCACATCCCCAATAAATACTGTTTCTTTCCCTTGGTTGAAATTTTGCTGATGCCCTGAGCCTGGCATGGACATTTTAAAGGTCTCAAGGTTTATCTGGGTCCCTGGAAATGAAGTGAACAGTCATTTGTTAAAGGTGTTAGTAAGGGAAGGTTTAGGAGAAACGTGGATAAATCTGGTTCCTAAGGAAAACGGGGTGCTTCATAGGGTGTCATGGAATATAAGGTATACAGTGTTCACTGCTGAGAAAAAGGAAAAAATATGTTTCTCACTCAATTGGGGTAAAATAACCAAAACTCTATTCTTGGATGGGACAGGTGCATCTGTATTCTTATACTGATGGAGACTTCGAGTCAGTCATGGCCTGAGCCAGGATTCCCAGGGTTTCCACATGACAGAAAAGAAAAGACTTTAGGGATGGTAATGATCTTTCAACAAAGGGTGACGAAAGCCATCTGTGTTTGGGATTTCTCTCATCAGAAGATAGTTGTGTATTGCAGAAAAGATATAACTGTCTAAGAACCATGATAGGGTCACCAGAGGGAGCAGAGACCTGATGTATCCAGTGCATTCTTTGGTCTGGACCCAGGAATCACTGCAGGCCACAACCATCACAATGTCGCTTGAACTTGCCCATGATCAGCCTAAACATCTTATGAAAACTGAGGGCTTGACAGGCTGACTGTCATGGCCTAACAGCATAGCACTGCATTTAGGAGAAAAGGCTCAGGAATTAGGCTGTGTTGGTTCCTAATCCTGACTCTCCATTGCATAGCTATATGACTTCAGTCATATCTTCTGCCTTTTGACTCCTTAATTTGTAAAACAGGGAGAGTTTACCTTCTGAAATGATTATTAAGAACTAAGTTGCATATGAAGGGCTTGGCACAGTGGCTGGGATCTGGTAAATATTAAATACATGTTATAAATCACCATCTTTACTATCCTCTTTTATTACCCATGGACCTTTCTATTACTCTTAGCCTCAGCACATGGAAATCAGATAGAGCATGAAGGAGCCTGTTCTTGAGCAAACACTCTGAACCTTCATATTGGAAGAAACTGACTTTCATATCCAGCTGAAGCCAAGTGACAACAAAGTTGGGGAATACAGAGGAGCTACTGGAGGAGTTGACTAGCTTCTTAGCATCAGGCCACTTGTTTGGGACACATAAGATAATAAAAATTAAACTGGACCCAAAGGATATAACATGTAACTGTCACTCACCTGGGCTGTGAGAAGTCATCCAAGCATGAGGAATATGTCAACCACAAATCAGGGGCCACTGTGTTTTAGCAGGTGACCTGATGTTTGAAAGTGTCAAATGTTTACTGAACTGAGGGATGAATGGGTTAGGAGTTAGAGAGTGTGAGGTACTATCTCGAGAATTTCTGGGAGTCCCCAAATCGCCAGGGGATAGAGCTGAGTGAAGATCTTGACAGTGAAGAAGGTATTATTTAGGACTGCCATGGATCTTGCAAGATGCAGCTCTGTGTACGCTTGGATGATGATGTGTCCCAAGAGGCCCATAAAACAAACGTCAGACTTGTATGGAAATGATATGTAGTCAGGTCTAATCAGAGAATGGTGAGTTGGTTCATACCTCAGGAAAACATCTTAATGTCAGGATGCAGGATATTATAGTGAGTTAGACTAGGGGTTTCATTTTAGACAAACCTGAGTTTGACTCCAGCTCTGCCTTTTATCAGATATATGAGTTTGAGCAAGTTACTTAAACTTTCTAAATCTTCATTTTCCTTATCTGTAGCAATACTATAGATTTATTTTTCGCATGGGATTGTTATGATGACTAAATTAGATTAAATGTTGTAAGCACCCAATACATTTTAGCGTTATTGTTATTATGAATTAAATGGTCACTATCTGGTGATCCATCTGGAGCAGAGTCTCTCAAATTTTAATAGGCCCAGAGCCTTGCTAATCAAAGTGTGGAGGTTAGCCCAGCGAAACTCATAAGAAATGCGGAATATCTAGTCAGAACTACTCAATCACATTATACATTTTAACAAGATCTGATTTACATGCATTTTATAGTTTAAGAAGCTCTGGTCTGGAAGACGTTCATTAAATCTGTAACACAGGTGAGGCATGGCAGAGACTACCGTAAAATGTGGCATATCAAGAGTGAACCCGGAGAGCAGATATTTACCCTTTTCGTTCCTTACCGAAACACATTATGGATCTTATCTTACACACTCCCCACTTCACTTATCCAACATACACAAAACACACCTAGATTTTAATATAGTTTCCAGCTTTCAGATAATATCTATATACTGGCAATCTCTCAGAGAGTAGATTTGCGCGCGTGTGTGTGTGTGTGTGTGTGTGTGTGTGTGTGTGTGTTGAGAATATTAAGGGCCCAATAATTGTTTCATAGTGTTTTCTTCAAGGAAAGATCATTTTGATTTGGCAACGGAGGTAGTTAAGATTTCATTAAGCAGAGCTAGGAGAAAAGGGTATTCCTAAAAGAGTAAAGACATGAGCAAAAATAAGAGGCAGGGAAATCCTGTATAGTTCCATGAACTCGTAAGTAATTAAGCTTGAACAGAATAGGTAGTGGGTGATGTGAATAAAAACTGTTGTAAGAAAGACTGGAAAGATATGTGAAATCCATGTCAGAGGGCCTTAGTGCCTGTTTAGGATTTTAGATTTTATTCTGAAGGCTGGGAACAGCCTGTATATTTGTGTATCCTCCTTGCCCAGAAAGAGGGACCCATTGGCGGTGGCTCCAGAATCTTCAGTGTTGGAGATCTTGTCCTTCAGAATGAGCTGAAGGTAGAGCTTGAGAACCTGAAAACTTTTAGTGAAATTACTACCAGTTTAGTTTTTCTACAAATGGCCCCATATTGCTGACTTTGTCATTTTACAGACCACGGCTAATTGCCTGGTCATTCAAGGTCTACATTTGATTCACCTGTATGTGTGTCATTTGGGGATGATGCCCCACCATGTTTTGCTTCTGAATTAAGTCTGTTGGCATAGGTTCACTGTATCCATCCAGACTCCATTTTAGGAGGTTATTCTATGAATAACTGCTTAATTTGCCTAATAGATTATCTGCATTAGAGATGAGTAAATTGAACACAACTTCTTCAAAATGAGATGTCAAGGAGCTCTTCCCATGTACTGGAGGGTGTGCGAAGAAGGGACTGGGGAAGATCTTGCTCTCTTTCAGTTTATCTTCACCAAGTCCTGCTGGTTGTTTCCTAGTATCTCATATTCTCTTGGTTGCTAAGAGATTGTTGGCTACTGCCCAACATCTTCTCAGGTAATGATCTATAATTATCAGCTTCTCTTCCTGTTGGAAAGATAGGCAGGTCATTTCCTTTTTTCAATCCTTGGGTGTTTAATTCTGTCCTGTAGGATAATATCAAAGATAATAGCTGGTGGAGTTTTTTTATTCTTCTTATATATTTCATTTCTAAAGATAATATTTAAACCTACAAAACTACCTTTATAACAAGTCTTTTTTTTAAAAAAATTATCTTTATTGTTGATACTATTACAAATATCCCCTTTGTTGTTTTTTCTCATTGACCCCCGCCACCCAGCACCTGCACTTCCTAGGCCTTTCACCACCCTGTTATCTTTGTCCATGGGTTATGCATATGTGCATACAAGTTCTTTGGTTTATCTCTTCCCACTTACCCACCCACCTCTGTCTTCCCTCTGATATTCCATAGTCTGTTCCATGCTTCTATGTCTCTGGATCTATTTTGTTAATTATTATTAATTTAAAAAATATATTTTTATTGTTTTTAGACAGAAAGGGAGAAGGAGAGAGAGAGAAACATCAATGATGAGAGGGAATCATGGATCGGCTACCTCCTGCACACCCCCTACTGGGGATCAAGCCCGCAAACTGGGCATGTGCCCTTGACTGGAATAGAACCTGGGATCCTTCAGTCTGCAGGCTGATGTTCTATCCACTGAGCCAAACTGGCTAGGACCAGATCTATTTTGTTCATCAGTTTATTTTGTTCATTTGATTCCACATATGAGTGAGATCATGTGATACTTGACTTTTTCTGACTGGTTAATTTCACTTAACATAATAATATCCAGGTCCATCCATGCTGTCTCAAAGGGTAAAAAACCCTTCTTTTATACAGATGCATAGTATTCCGTTGTATAAATGTACTGTAGCTTTTTTTATCCGCTCATCTGCTGCTGGGCCCTTGGGCAATTTACAATAGTATCACTCAGATTATCCTTTTGTTTTCTTCCTCAGAAACCGATATTCCTTTCGTTTAGAAATTTCCTTCATATAACAATTTTTTTTCTGTAGTTATTCTTTACCCCCTGACTTTAATTTGGAATGACTTTCTGCATTTTAAGACTCATAAAGTTGACATCAGGCCAATGGTAGACTGCCACCTGTCTGAGATTTCTTTTGTTCTTTGATTTTTATTCGCACATTGTGGTGGTAGGCCTTATTTGGTTGTTCTAAACTCTGAGTGCACTTAAAAATCACTCAAGGAGCTTTGAAAACCACAAAAGTCTGGCTCTGTCTTGAAGGATTTTAACTCAATTGGTCTGAGACAAGGCCTGGGTGTGGGCATTTTAAAAACAAGTTTTACCTCATGATTCCAACATGCAACCAGAGTTGAGAGCCACTGATCTAATCCAGCAGGAACTGGCAAAGAGTATCAGGTCCTTGTAAAGGAGGCTGTGCAACCTTGCTGGGGCTTGGCATCTCCACATAGTAACTACCTTTCTTCTCTCCCCAGATGGTGCTTCTGGCCAGGTGTGAAGGACACTGCAGCCAGGCATCACGCTCTGAGCCCTTGGTGTCCTTCAGCACTGTCCTCAAGCAGCCCTTCCGCTCTTCCTGTCACTGCTGCCGTCCCCAGACCTCCAAGCTGAAAGCATTGAGGCTGCGCTGCTCAGGGGGCATGCGACTCACGGCCACCTACCGGTACATCCTCTCCTGTCACTGCGAGGAATGTGGCTCCTGAGACCTGCTGCTGAGTGGCTTTGGGATGGGACAACCTCCCTCCATCAGTGAGACAATTCAATCAGTCATGGACAGGCTGGCAAGAAAGAAGTTAAGGCAAAAAAAGATGCAGCAATTCCCATGGGATTCTGCATTTTTCAGTAATAAAGACTCCACATGCTTGTTGACAGAGAGAGATACTCTGGGAACCTGTTGTCCATTCCTGTCTCCTTTCCCTGGTACAATTTCTTCTGTTTCCTTTTCAGATTCAGGCATCTTCCCCTTTGGTGCTGAATGTTGTTTGGGTTTCCAAAAATTCAGCATTAGTGGGAAAAGTGGGCCCCCAGGCAAGAGTGGGTTAGACTGTTACTGTCTGGTGCAGATTAGAGAAGCATTCCCTTTGGAAAACAGGAATGCCCAGTTCTTCCTGGGACATCAGCTAATCTTTATTTATCTTGTCATTTGCTCTAAAGTTGCCATTGCTGCTAACGATTCTCAATTTGAAATTCCAGGCATCAAGCATGTCGGTATGTTTATTCAAGTTCAATCACAGCCAGCTGACATTCAAATAATTAAATAGATTCTCTTAAACGATGCTGGGACTCCTGATAGCTGTAATTACTATTCAGAAATGACTTTTGGACGATAAAGGTGGCATAAGGATTTGTCATCTGAAGGTTCCCTCAGATAAATTATGGTAAAACTTTGTAAGGGAGCAGACTTTTAAAGACCTGCACAAATACAGATTCTGCACTGACTTTGAAAAGGGCATAAGTGTACTAGTGGCCTGGAGAATGCACTATACTCATGCATGCAAATTAGACAACCAAGTATGAACCTATTTGTGGGTGTGCTATAGCTCTAGTCATGCTGCAGGCATTTTCTCCAACATCTACTGGGCCATATGAAGCTTGCTGCCAAAATGGTGGCCTGGCTCATCTTCTAAACATTTGGTTTAAATATATTTTGGTCTCTGAGACTCCAAATTTGAGTCATTCCCATGTTGTGAAATAAAAAGAGAGTATCATCAAAATTCTGCTTAAGCATTGTTTTTTCCTACTAAATATCTTACTTGGATGCATCTCTACTGTGTGTGCATTGTGGTGGTGAAGTCCAGAAAAAGAGGGAGATATGGTTCCAGAATGCATGGTGGGGCATTTTTAAACTTGGCTTTTAGCCTCAGAATATAGTTTATTGAACGAACACAAAATCTGATGCATTCTGGCTTCCTTAGGCACTACAAAATAAAATGGAAAAGTCATCACCTATTTAATTCCTTCACTTTACTCAGAAGAGAATAAATATTCATAAATGAAGTCTGAAGAACCAGAAAGAAGATAAATTGTTCACTACTGTGGTGTCTGTGTCATTGACCATCCAGTGCTATAGGTCCAATGATACTCCTGAGCATTACAAGAACATTCACAGTGCTAACATAGCGCTGTGTCTGCTTTAGGCATCTCAACACTAACCCAGACTGGCAATTCAGTTTCCAGGGCAACCTTGACACCATGCTGTCTTGGCTCACCAGAAATGCCAGTGCACCCACTGTTAGTACAGCCAACCTGTGAATTACTTTTCCTGTAGACATGATGGTTTTATAAACTCGTTGGCATAGCTTTCACACATTTTTAAAAAATCCAGCAGGGTTAAATTTGTATTTGTGCCTTTGGAGCAGAAAAAAATATAATGCTATTAAGCCTTGACCTAAATTGTAACCTTCATTGTGTCAGAGCCAGGCAGTCCACTAAATTGGCGGTTGTCTCATTCTGAAGGCAAATGTGAAATGTTAATTTGGACCATTATATGAAGAATATTTTTGTCATAAAAAAGAATTAAATTTAATATCTAAAGTTAAATGGTTATAATTCTTAACTGATAATGAAAGTATTAACCACTGGTCACATTTATAGCTATTTTTTCATGTCACTAATCAAAAAGTGGAAATAATACTGTAGCCTTAAAATATATCTTTCTGGCTTTGAAAACTCAATTTGCTTTAAGAGTCACATGGCCCAAATTCCAGTATTTATTTCCTTACTACCATTTTGGGACTGGAAGGGGTAGTTATATGACTCATATTTTCCAAATTTCCTGGAAGCCATAGAAAATATTCTCTTCAAATCCCATTACATGGTCTATTGTCAAAACAGAATATGTTTGGAACAGTAGAGAATCATAGGACTGTGGTATGGGGGGGGGGCATTAAAAAGCAGCCATTCTCTTTTCTCCCTAAATTGATGAGCAAATGAAGGCCTGCAGAAAGTCAGGAGCTTGCCCAAAGTACCACACTTAGGTGTGGATTTGGAACTAGAACCAGAACCCAGGTTTCCAGCTCCACAGCATGGTGCTTCCCTTCCTCCCTCTCCACCAGTGAAAGAAACCTTCCTCTTTTCAGGATTTTGGATGCTTAATATGGTGAATGAGTGAAAAAGGGTGTGACGAGACAGTCATGTCAAAATGGGGCACTTCAAGGCTGAGAAAGTGGGGGGAAAAACTTATATTTTCCCTAAAGGCCTAAAAATAACCCTGGGAACTGAAAAAATTTAGACACTATTGGAGTTTAGATTACTATGGAATTTGTATTATATCTTTCAAAAATTAAACATACTTAGCCTTATTTTAATGTCTACCCTTGAGGGATTGAGAGAGAACCAAATGAAAACATTGATTGGTTAAAAACACTACTGCTGGAATGTGTAAGGAATGTTCATCCGTCTTTCCCATTTGTTACGCATGAATAAAGGCAGACTAAAATATGCTATAATCTTAGTAGCTTACATCCTAAACGTCTGTATGATAATCCATAATGGTGGAGAGCAAGACTCTTATAAAATGATCTTATCCTCATTATTTATAAGCATTTAACAATAATGAGCTAACACTGCACTGGAAGATAGAAGCATTACGGACTGAATTGATGTCTCAGTTTCCCACACCAATCTCTTAAGTCTCATTTGTGTAAGCTCCTGAACTTTCCCCAGAAACTTAAAATGAAAGAAAATCAACCCTTCGCCGAAACCGGTTTGGCTCAGTGGTAGAGCGTCGGTCTGTGGACTGAAAGGTCCCAGGTTCGATTCCAGTCAAGGGCATGTACCTGAGTTGTGGGTACATCCCCAATAGGGAGTGTGCAAGAGGCAGCTGGTCGATGTTTCTCTCTCATCGATGTTTCTATCTCTCTATATCTCTCCCTTCCTCTCTGTAAAAAAATCAATAAAATATTTTTTTTTAAAGAAAGAAAATCAACCCTTCTAGGTCCTGAGGAAATACGTAATGGTTGATTTTCTAGTAAACTCAAGTGTTTGCTAATCTACCCAACACACTGTTTTGTAGTAGGTAGAGTAGGATTGCATACACACTATGACCAAGGAACTCTTTAAGTTGATTTCTTCTTTGAAACTTCGGAGAAATTAAGGCACAAATCTGGTTTTGGTCACTTCTTCAGGCATCATTAAAACATATACACTTGGCCCTGGCCAAGGTGGCACAGTTTATTAGAGGATTGTTCCTGCACCAAAAGGTTGCTGGTTCAATTCCCGGTCAGGGCATATACCAGTACATAGGTTTCCAGTTTGATCACCGGTTGCGGAAGGCAGTCAATTGATGTACCTCCTCTCTCTCTCTCTCTCTCTCTCTCTCTCTCTCTCTCTCTCTCTCTCTCTTTCTCTCCCTCCCTCCCTCCCTCCCTCTCTCCCTCCCTCCCTCCTTCCCTCCCTTCCTCCCTCCTTCCTTCCCTCCCTCCTTCTCTCTCTCCTTCCCTCCCTCTCCCTCTCTTTCTCTCTCTAAGATCAATTAAAAAGAAATTAATAAAATTAAATTATTACAGTTCTTTAAAAATAATGACCTTTTTAAAACACACACACACACACACACACACACACACACACACACACCACATACATTTGAGAAAGACAACTGCCAAGATGGAACACTGAATGCATGGGGATCAATGGGTAAGAAGGCTTAGATCAGAAAGGAAACCCATATCCTGCTAATAGTGCTTTCTTCATGACCCTAGATGCAGCCACATCCTGGCAGAAAGACATACTCATTACCTTCAGAAGCTAGAACAGTGGAGAAGGTTGGATCTATTGTAGGAAGAGAGGTTCTGCACAAAGCTGTATCATTACATCCCTAGAGGAGTGCTTTACTTCATAATGTCTGTTTCAATGCACAAGCAGGTACCCAGAAACTACTTGCTGAAGGACAGTATTTCATGAGAAAATGCCAACACACCAATGTCTTCCTGTAAGTCTTCACTATATTAATGAAATTTTTTTATTTATGCTACTATCAATCTATAACAGCATAAGCCTTTTCTTCAAATTGATTATGAATGTAATTCCAAATTCCACATTGAGTAAAGTCATTCTGTGCCTTCAAATATGAATGTCTCTTCTTATGTGGTAGACAGAACATTTTAAATTTGATGACTCTTGTGAACATGGATAAGCACCAGGGAAAGACTTGTTGCCTTAGCTGTTGATCTTCTTCAGAGACTGTCTCAGCTGCAGAGTCACCTTGCCCAAGGGCATTCTCTCCCAGGGGTAGCGGAGGAGTGATGGAGGATCCAAGGAGTGATGGAGGTGGGAGCATGAGAGCCTATCTTGGCCTGATGCAAGACAACTCCAGTGGACAAACTTGGTTCCAGAGTTGTCCACTAGGCTGACCAAGGTATGCCAGTTCAACTTCTCTTTGTGCCCAAGCTTGCTTCTCCCCTGGCCTTCCATAGGTGCTGATCCCTAATAAATTCCCTGCACTACAGGCTCCATCTCAATATCTGACTCTTGGGAACCAAAGCTTGAAACAGTAACTTTAACATATTTTATTGGCCTGTAAAAAGAAACACGTGCATCTAAGCTGTGTAGTCTCATTATGTGGTCCAATAATATTTAGGGTTAAGATTATGTTTCTGTTTCCTCTAAGTTCATAATTTAAATATATGTGCTGGCGTCTACTATATGTCAGAATGCCAAATGCTGGAGATGTTGAGGTGAAAAGGGCATAGCCTAGCTTTATTGTGTGCACAGGCTACAGAGGGCTAGAGATGACTATAATTAAGTGTACTGATGACATATAGAGATAATCTACAAAGTAGATGATTTTTATTGAGTTTATTGGAGTTACATAAAATTATATAGGTTATATAATTTTATTAACCATAATTTTATATGGTTAATAAAATTATATAGATTTCAGGGGTACAATGCTATAATATATCATTCATATATTATATTGTGTATTCACCACCCCAAGAGTCCGTTCATCACCATTTATTCTCCCTTTACCCTCCCCTAATTCCCCCACCTCCCCTTCCCTCTAGCAATCACAGTACTGTTGTCTGTCTATAAGGTGGTTTTTTTTAATTTTATTTGTCTGCTTGATCCCTTCATCTTTTTCACCCAGCACTCTACCCCTCCTCTTTAACAGCTGCCAGTCTGTTCTCTGTATCTATGAGTTTATTTCTATTTTATTGCAGCCATTGTGGAAAGCAGTATGGAGTTACCTCAAAAAATTAAAGATGGAAATGCCTTGCTGAAACCGGTTTGGCTCAGTGGTAGAGCGTCAGTCTGCGGACTGAAAGGTACCAGGTTCAATTCCGGTCAAGGGCACGTACATTGGTTGCAGGCATATCCCTGGTAGGGGGTGTGCAAGAGGCAACTGGTTGATGTTTCTCTCTCATCGACGTTTCTAGCTCTCTATCTCTCTCCCTTCCTCTCTGTAAAAAATCAATAAAATATATTTTTTTAAAAATGGAAATGCCTTATAACCCAGCAATTGCACTTCTGGGAATATATACAAAGAAACCTAACACACTAATTTGAAAGAATATGTACAGCCCTGTGTTCATTGCAATATTATTTACAATAGCCAAGATTTGGAAGCAGCTTAAGTGCCCATCAGTACATTTGTGGATAAAAATAAATAAATAAATAAATAAAGCTGTGGTACATTTACACCCTGGAATACTACTCAGCCATGAAAAAGAAAATAGCTTTTGCAATAGCATGGTTGGACCTGGAGAGTATTATGTTA